TTGGAGGAAAAGGACTCCAGATGGGCTCATTCCACCTCTGAGAATGTTTTTGACACTAAAACTCTTAGCATGCACTCAGCCAATCTTGAATTTCCTCTGGAACAACCATCCTCTTTTCATCCAGCAGTTTGAGTCAGAAAAAATTATCATATCATCTTAAAAATTCCGTTTGACCCATTTGCAGCAGATTCTTTTTTCGTACCATGGCCATATAGTAACAGCGTCCCGACTTTCATTCCCTTTAAACCTACTTTATGCTGTCCATCCGCATTGACCCATCTGGATATCAGTAGTCTCCAGGCCACCAAACCAACCAGATCTTTTTTACAGTATTCTCCTTGCAAAGTTTCCAACCAAGATCCAACGTTGGATTTGTTGATGCTTGGTGCGGATGTTACAAAACATGAATAATACGTTTTACCCGCACTCTCATTTAATCTTAAGGCCAGTCTCTCTCTCTCTCTCTCTCTCTCTCTCTCTTTCTCTCTTAACCTCTTCCGTCTTCTCATCACAATCACAAGGAACAAGCCAAAAACTTCACTCGAGTTCTTATTTTTTGTCGTGGAAACCTGCAGCCACAACAAAGTCATATGCTCCTATTTCATTCAGAATTCCACGGTGTTATACTTTTGCACTTTCCACGAAAGCTTATAAAGACCTTCCTGCAACACGAGCAGTCGCTACGTTTTCTTGTGCTCCGAATTATCACTCGATGTTATAACTTCAACATTTCCTTAACAAGCAATACCTTTTAGCTCTTATGTTACAGGCTCACAATGTTATGCCTCATCACCGCCCGTACCCAAATCTTCCTCAACGACTCACTTTCCGAACCACATCGAAAACCTTGCAGCGACAGTTTAGTCAACTGCAGACTATGGAAAGGGCCTCTCAGTTAAATTGTCCTCTGTACCTCTTGCTTTACCACGAATGGCATCAGATTGCCACACTTTGAGGCAGTGTTGTTGACAAGTAACCACTAAAATTGAAAACATTCGGTCGTTTCATGCGGTTAAGCATTAGTTAAGGCACGCAAGCTTGCTGGATTTTAACGAACGGTTAAAAGATACGTCCGTCTGAAGAACATGTGTACTACACTTATCAAGCAGAATTCAAAAGAGGTCAAGTCAAAGCCAATTGCCAAAACTTTTTAAGCAGCGACATGATCAGTTATTTTCATGTTGTTAAAATTGAATGATCGTTTTGTTCTGCTTCAAAGTTATTCTTGCCTATAAACGGGCAAGCAATTACATAGTTTTTGGAATTTTACTGCGGCACAAACTCTGTGAAACGTTCGTTCCATTTTTGTTGTCTCACATCTTTAACATGTAGAAACACACTAGAATGTCTTCCTATAACTCTAAATTATTGTCAATCTTTTTTTCTGAAGTGTTGCAGGGAAAACTTACAAAAAAAGAGAGTCGAAATTCTTTTTCTTATTATTTCTTCATATTTACGGCTTCTGGTTTCAGGGATTTTTTAGAGCAAAGTTTAGTCCAGGAATCTTAGGTAAATCAATGTTCTATGAGTTTATAATAATCCTAAGTTCAAGGATTTTTACAATTTGACCTGATGTTTTGCTTTGATGGAAACTATAAATTTGTTTTTCCCGTCCTGGGAAACTAAAAACAAACGACGGAAACCTAATGAGCTCTAATCAATGTTTTGTGTGTTTGATTGTGAACTATTTTCAAGAGACAATAAGAGAGAAATATCTTTCTTTTGTGACTTCAGATACCTCCATTGCTTCGAAGTGGAAGAACTTGACCTGATTTTTACAATTTGACCTGTTGTTTTGCTTTGATGGAAACTATAAATTTGTTTTTCCCGTCCTGGGAAACTAAAAACAAACGACGGAAACCTAATGAACTCTAATCAATGTTTTGTGTGTTTGATTGTGAACTCTTAGCGTGCACTATTTTCAAGAGACAATAAGAGAGAAATATCTTTCTTTTGTGACTTCAGATACCTCCATTGCTTCGAAGTGGAAGAACTTGACCTGATTTTTACAATTTGACCTGTTGTTTTGCTTTGATGGAAACTATAAATTTGTTTTTCCCGTCCTGGGAAACTAAAAACAAACGACGGAAACCTAATGAGCTCTAATCAATGTTTTGTGTGTTTGATTGTGAACTCTTAGCGTGCACTATTTTCAAGAGACAATAAGAGAGAAATATCTTTCTTTTGTGACTTCAGATACCTCCATTGCTTCGAAGTGGAAGAACTTTCAACCGGGTGTAAACATATGGCAAAGTTAAAAGTAGGCAAAAGCATGATTAGCCCAGTTTTAGCTGTCTTCTTTTTAAAAAATATATTTCAAGGCCCTTAAAATGAAATAGAAAAACAAAACTGCTCGTATCAGGGCGAAGATCTGAATGTTCCGATTGCCTTTTAAGGTTTATGGAGCAGTAAAACATTAAAAAATTTAATGAAATAAAACAAAAGAAAAAAAAATTATCTAAAATTTGAAATTTTTTTGGAAAATCATCCCCACACGAAAAAAATATCTTTTCAAATTTGAGCTCAAGACAACAATAGCTTTCGAATGATATAAAAAAATTCCGTCAAAAATGTCTGGTTAAAAAGTCGAAATTTGTCTGAAGAAAAAAATAACCCACCCCGAGCACAAATATTCCGTTACTTTCGTATCGAAAGTCGGAACAATAAAAGAGGTTCTTCTTTTTGCTTTTCCCCCACCTGCAAAACTTAGCCAGTAAAATTTTGTTCGCACTGTCTGTCCGATTCTTACAAAAAATTGCTTAGCGACTTATTACGCAATGACAAACATATTTGATTTTGATGCTTAACCTTGTAAAATTCCATTATACAATAACATTGATGCTTATTTGAGGTTGGGAAAAGGAAAAGTAGCTAAAACAATTTTTCTCGGCCGCTCAAATCAAAACAAAGTATTTTGTTTGCTTTTTTTATTTAAATACTGGGTAACTTGGATTAAGTAACACATATATGATTCCACGAAGACTGGAGAAATTCGAAAACTTATGCTAGATGGACGGTGGATCAGGAAAAATGAATGGAGAATTCAAATAGGTCGTTCTTTTTTTTGAGAGTAAAACGCAAGTAGTTTGATGGCCGGCTTGATTTCTCAGAGATACTTTCATAGATTGGCTTGGTTTCATTCAAAAAGCGGCAGTGAATGTTCTAATGATAATCATTCAGGGCAAACAGACATTGAGAGGAGTAGGAACTGAGCTGTTTCGTATCCGTAGTTCTGCAGAATCTACATTTTCTCTCCTGAACGGTTTTCACTCATATGCTGAAAATTTTCTATCCTCTAGTTTTCTTTGCATAAGAATCTGATTCTTTTTGTTCCGTCTTTCGATACCAAAGTAACGGAATATTTGTGCTCGGGGTGGGTTTTTTTTTCTTCGGACAAATTTCGACTTTTTAACTAGCCATTTTTGACGGAATTTTTTTTATATCATTCGAAAGGTATTGTTGTCCTGAGCGTAAATTTGAAAAGATAATTCACCTGTGATCATTTATCGTAAAGTGATGGGGGTTTAAAGATTGTCATTTTGGCCAATTTGGGACAATTAACGCGCGATATATTTCGCGCTATTAACGCGTAAGCGGAGAGTTAATCCGTCTTAGAAATCGTTCCAAATTGGTTGAAAGAATGAAAGAAGCTTATTTGCCATAATTTATTTGTTACCAGGGGCGAAACCGATCCTTTTGTACTTGTGGGGTGTAGGGGGATGATTTTCATTAAAAATTTTCAAATTTTAGAAAAAAAAATTTTCATTTTGTTTCATTTCATTTAATTTTTTAAATAATATTACAGTTCCATAAACATTAAAAGGCGGTCGGAACATTCAGGGCTTCGCCCTGATACGAGCGGTCTTGTTTGTTTTAAAAAAAGTTTGTACACATATGGTTTTAATGGGCTGTTTTCAGCGTATGAACAAAATCGAATCAGAAACAAGACTGCTCGTATCAGGGTGAAGCCCTGAATGTTCCGACTGCCTTTTAAGGTTTTATGGAGCAGTAATAACAATAAAAAAATTAAATGTAATAAATAAAAAAAAATTTTAAATTTGAAATTTTTTATGAAAATCATCACCCCACACGCCATTTAAAGTACAAAAAGTTAGATTTAGCTCCTTGTAACAAATCAATTATGGCAAATAAGTTTCTTTCAACCAATTTGGAACTATTTCTAGGACGAATTGAATCTCCGCTTACTCGTTAATAGCGCGAAATATATCGCGCGTTAATTGTCCCAAATTGGTCAAAATGGCCAAAATGGCAATCTTTAAACCCCCATAACTTTACGAAAAATGATCACAGGTGAAATATCTTTTCAAATTTGAGCTCAGAACAACAATACCTTTTGAATGATATAAAAAAAATTCGTCAAAAATGGCTAGTTAAAAAGTCGAAATTTGTCTGAAAAAAAACCCACCCCGAGCACAAATATTCCGTTACTTTCGTATCGAAAGTCGGAACAATAAGAGCTGTATTAGCAAATTTTATAACCGAAAAGTAAATTTAAACATGAACACATGACCATAAAGATAAAACGCAGACACATTTTTTTCTAAAATTTTTTGAGTGGCCAAACTCTTTCTATTAAATATATTCAAGTGATTGACTTTTGTATCAGAAAGCTCGAACTTTTCATATTCTTTTGATTTATTCTATAACTTACCACATATTTTTTCTACCACAACGTAATGTAATGTACTTACACGTAATTAAAGATCTGACAAAAGTTATTGTTGACTTGAGCGCTTATAACGAGTTTATGTACTAATGTTTTGATGTTTTGATTCTGTAAAAAGTAAAACACAGGCAGAAACATGAAAAGAAAAAGTTGGCTTAAACTTCATCAAAAACTTACCAAATGGCTAACATTACCACCATTACTAATATCTTTGCGGTTGACTTTCTCAAAGCATCAAACTGTCTTATAGTGTCATTTCATCAGCAAAATTCATTAATTTGACGACAATGAGTTTTATTTACAAGTAATAAAATGTTGAACAATTGCATTGGTTGTAATAACTTGGGCACTTATAACGAACTGATCACGTGCAAAAATTTTCGTGCTGAAGAAATTATAACATAAGCAGAAGCTTGAATAGTCAAGCTTGGCTAAGACTTCATCAAAAATTTACCAAACAGGCAAAACGGCCAATAAATATTCAAATCTTTGCGGTTGATTTTATTACAAAGCATTAAACTCTCATTTTGTCTCAAATTATCAGCAAAGTTTTTCCAATTTGTTTTCCTTAATTTTCCCCCGAGAACTCAAATTTCGAAAATTTGCTGTAGAGAAAAATTAAATTATAGTTTTTAAAAATATTCCTTGTACTGGGAGAAAAACTGAACCTCCTTTTTCTAAAAGCTAGCTTCAAAATCCAGGAAGGTATTGTTTCCATATCCAACTCAAAATTTTGAAAAGTATGCAAAATCAGCCATACTTATTTTTATCCTCAATCTTGAACTTGGTTGTGATTTTTGCAAAAAAAAAAAATATATGTTGATTTCTCTCTTGGTCAATTATAGTATGTTTTCATCAGGTCAGTTTTCAGTGCTATGACAATAAAAAAGTTTCGCTGTACGAAAGATTAATGTTTTTTTTTGCGGTCACTTCAATACAAACATGTCAAAGTTTGACCCTCTCATTCTGAACAAAAAACGACGAACTGAACAAAAAAATTTTATCGGGTTTTTATCTGAAATGAGAAGAAATTCGAGAAGTTTATGTTCACTGTTTTTTTCAGTGCGGTGTTTCTGAGCTAATCAAATTCACAGTCGTCAATATTACCCGAGTCGAGATTTTATCACCAACCAAAGTGTTAGCGTTTGAAAATGTTTAGGTATCTTGTGCCTAAGTCCGAACGATTTTTCAACCGTATTTTTAGTGAGCACGAGATTTCTTTGGTAAATTTGCTGAATATTTAATCTAGAATGTTAATTTTTTCCTGCAGCAATCATCCTTTTTTATTATTATTTTTAACACACGTGATCAAACTGTTGCCGAATTTAAATGCCTTGGTGGGTTTGAACCCTTTGAGAAATTTTTTAAAAACTTACAAGACGATCGGGCTGGCTGAATGAGTTTTTGAATTGCTTGGGAGAAAAATTTCGACCCGGGTACAATTTTAGTCACAAAATGGCCTCGTCTTCATCTTCTCAAACGAATGACTTCATTTCCAATCAAAACAGCCGTGGTGTCTGTCCCGGTTGTTCGGCAAAACTAACAGGCAATGCGCCGGAAATTCCCTGTGGTCACCAAATTTGCTTCCAATGTGCGGTGACTATGGAACAATTTGGAGGTCAAAAATGTCCAGTTGAGGGTTGTCGCCACAATCAAACTGCCTTCCCAGAGCGAATTTCAGTCAGTAACTTACCTGTGAAACCTGTAGCTGCAGTTGACAATTCTTCGTTCACTGTACAACCACCGGCTTATGAAGGTAATCTGCTTTCATTGTCGATTGTCTTTATATTTTATATATAAATGTGTGTGTATATATTATAAATTGAAATCGGAGTCCTTTGTTACTCATCATGGAGTTAGCCTGGCATTCATTTCGTTATCTCGTGTCAGCATCTTAAGTTTTGTATTCGGTAATATGATCTAGCACAAAATAAAATTTATTTGTCAAAACAAAGTTGAAGTTGTTGATTTCTTAGAAAACCATTTGGATCAATTGAGCAATCTCCCCTCCCCCCCCCCCCCCCCCGTAATGACCAATTGAGCTATCTCCCCCCCAGCAAAAACGAAAAGACCCTACAAAAAGACGTCAGCAAACGCAAGTAGATGGATGATGTGTTTATAGCACGCAATCAATTCACCGACTGAAGTTATCTTACATGAGTATCGAGAAAAAATTTGAAAAAAAAAATCGAAATTTATGAAAAAAAAAATTTTTTTTTGCAAAATTTTGTTTAGGCAACCATAGCCTCATCGAAGAAAGCGATTTACCAGGGTCGGTACTCTAGCGTTGTATGTGAATAGCAAAAACGGTTCTCCGCAGCACCTTAATATTGTTCGCAAAAACTTTTTGTCATGTTAAGAAAGGAAAAAAAGTCGCTTTTTATGGCTGTTTTATTGATTCTTTTTTCAATCCGAATGAAACTTTTGAGCTTTGATATTGTAAATTTTTGGCTTTCCACAGTCGTTGGAAAATATGTTTTATGATTTCATGTGATTCAATCTATTTTCAAGTGGTTATAAACATGTCTCAAGTACCTATTGAGCAATCTCCCCCCCCCCCCCACGCGAGAATGGGGGGGGGGGAGATTGCTCAATTGATCCAACCATTTCATCCTATTTCAAGTTTTCAATACAAACTCAACACTACTTTCCCTAATCCCGTCATTTCCTTCAGTTTATCCATTTTATGCAATTCATTCGAAAAGCAGCCGAATTTTTTCGTAATATTTTATTTTCATTTCTAATTCTTCTTTCTTTTATGGTATCTTATCTGGGGCGAAAAAAGGGTGATAAAAGTTGGTTTAAAAGCACCATCATTTCTTTGATTCTTGGGGTAGACTGTATTTAAACTTCAAAATTGACTGATAAGTCGTCTTATCAGAAAAAGAACTCTGAGAAAAAAACCTTATAAGCTTCTCAATGATACTTTGTGATCAGTAGCATTTATGAAGCTTGTCAAACACCTCTCCCGTAAACATAAGTTTCTCTTCTTCCATGGGTGACCATAAAGGGCTCTTTTCCAGTCCGCACCTTTGATTTTTTCTGAAATTCCTTAAATGGAAATCAAATTAAAAAGCTTTTTCTTAATATGAACTGCAATAAAACCGTGTCAGCGTGAACAAGTGAACAAATTTCTACAACAATTCTTACGTGCACAATGCCGCGTGAACAATTTTTAAAAAAGGAACCGGCAAACTATCTCGAGATCTTCGGAACGTCGTTGAATTAAACCAGATTCGGGCTTAAGAAGTCAAGTATTATAACTACACAGCATGTTAATGTCAAAGTAATTAAGTCCTTTTTTACCAGACGTTCCGTCGTCAGGTCATATCAATTTAAAATCGTCAATTGGAACATTTCCATTGCAAGGACCTAAAGGCTCCGAATACAGTTCGTTTTCCTTTGTTCAAGTGAAGTAGGGTGATTGAGTCGTATGAAGCATATAGGCGGTGAGCGATTGTTCAAAAGCCGACGAAAAGACTACTAAACTGCTCGAAACTTCCGATATACATGGTTAAAAACATTCTGGTGTATTCACGACCTTGCGTTACCCGATAATTACGATGTCTCAATTGGTTGCGTCACCGTTACTTGTGGCCGGAGGAGTCCTCATCGGATGCAGTAATTCAAAACACGCAGCGTATCTTTGGCACCCGCGATTCACCAATAGGCTCTTAATTTTTTGCAATCAACAAAGGATAACCAAGCCAATTATACAAAAAAGGAATTCCGCTTGAAATCTATCTCGATTCCCTTGAGAGCCATGTAAAAGCACTCAAACTGCGTCGCGACTTGATTAATCTGTTGAAACATGGTGGTTAGAACTATACTAGGTTAGTTGTTTTCTTGGGCTAGCTTGCAGCAGGGATAGCTATCGAGTAAAATTGTGGTCCCAACTTTTGAATTGTAATTTCCACATAATAGACTTTAAAAGGACCGCATTAAAGACTTATTGATTGTGAGTCGCTGTTTCAATCGTGAGCTCTAAAACCACCGCACGCAATTTTGAGTGATGAATTTTGTCTCATCCGTGTTTGATCCGCTTTTGTTAAATCGACTTGGTTTGTGAACGGCCAGCAGTGGTAAAACTCCTTACGTGAATATCTTAACACGTGCTTTCTAAAGAGGCATTCCGCTTTACCTACGCTAAGACATAATGTCGTCTCGTGGAATTATTTCGGTGTCCTGTTGAAAATATCGAGTAACACGCTGTTGCGTTTCTTAGTGCTCGCAGCTGTAGACCCTAATGAGATCAAGATTACTTTTGTCTTCGACAAGGCCAGGTTTGCACATAGAAGTGTTTTTTCTTCTCCGAAGGTGTAATTGCAGGCCAATTTTCTTGCTTCTCGTCTTCGGGAAGATATTTAAAAAGCCTTGAGGCTCGAGGTTGATAAAATTTTCATGTGATCTGAGAGCCCGGATTCAAAGGCATAACCTTGATGGTTAATAAGCTATTGTGTACCATCTGGTTTGACTTTAGACCGCCACTCTGACAATAAAAATCATCGATAATTGGAGTTGACATGAATTGTTCATCTAATGAAGTAGGGCCATTTTCTGCAGCAAAAAATAAGTAACATCGCATGAGCTCCCTGAGGAAAGTAATTTTTAAAGTACAGATTGTGGATTTTACTGTCTCGCCACACTGCCAACCGAATTTCGGCAATGAGGGAGAAACATTAATACGCGAAAGTTTGGATGCAAATGCTTTCAGTGACAATTTTTTGATCGCACACACGGAAAAATCTCAATGCTTGGACGAAGACTGAAGAAAAACACCAGATAGAAAATCATGGGTCAACAAACGTCATAAATCAAAATGCGGAGAAAAAGTGGCTGAGGCGTAGATACCAAAAATGCCGTAGATATCAAAGATTGCCTACGAGATTTAACCCAATTACAAGCACAGTAAAATTAGCTTAAGTCCCAAAAACAGATGTCTACCGTTGCTCAAAGGCTTGGCACCACCGTCAGTCGATACCAAGAATAAAGTGGAAGATGGCAAATTCGTACACTGCGGAGTATCAATCCTTATTTGAACATTCAAAGCTGTCACAACTTTACGTGTGAGAAGTTATAACACCGAACGGATTGGTAAATGATCATTCACAAGTGAACATAAGTGAAAACATTTGATTTACTAAATCGCTTATTGACTTCTGAGCTTTTAGCTCAGACGTTTAGTCTCCTAATTCGTACAAGGCCGCATGACCAACAGAAAATTACTCAGTGAGTCGCAGTGAGTCCATATAAATAATAAAATTTCGTAAATATTATCAATCCGTACCGGATGACAAAAGCGAATTGAAGTGCTTCATCCTCAATAACATTGACATAAAATAATTTGGGAGAGGACTGGTATCAGTAGAAAAACACTTCAAATTCGAAAGAGGGCAAGTTTGTGCTGGTTAGAGAACTTTAGATAAAGAAAAACTACTTGGCGTGTGAATTGTAAATCAATTATAAAAAAATTGCCAGATACACCAGATCATAAAAGATGCAGATCACAAAATGAACACCATTGAGTCAAACAATTATATGATGGGCCAACCAGGGTTGAATTTCAAATTTTCTTGAGTGGGGGGTTTTAAAAAATTTTCGACCTCAATTTTAGGTCGACCAGTTGATTTTTCGAGAGCTCCCAGAGCACTATAATAACACAATTTTGACAAAAAAGTTTGAACCGCAGGCAAATTTTGGAAAAAACAGCTATATAAGGCTGTTTTTTGTCAAATTTGCGCTTTTTCGGCCGGGGCCTCCCTTTCAAAGTGATGATATATTGGCGCCAATGGCGCATTTAGAAAAAAATCAGGGTTGATCAGCCAAAAAAAGTAGGTCAAAAGTTAAACCAAATGGGTTCTTTGATTGGTGAAGGCGCCAAATGTTGAAATTTAGCCACGGTTTTGCATTTCAAGTAACGCCATAAAATGTTTACTGAAAAAATAAGAATTAGTTTAATTAACAAAGAGATTTAGTTTAATTACAAACTATAACAAGACTGCTCGTATCAGGGCGAAGCCCTGGATGTTCCGACTGCCTTTTAAGGTTTATGGAGCAGTAATAACATTTAAAAAAATTCAATGAAATAAAACAAAGTGGAAAATTTTTTTTCTAAAATTTGGATTTTTTAAAAAATAAAAATCATCACCCCACACGTCATATAAAGTACAAAAAGATAGATTTCGCTCCTTGTAACAAACCAATTATGGCAAATAGGCTTCTTTTAACCAATTTGGAACGATTTCTAAGATGGATTAACTCTACGCTTACGCGTTAATAACGCGAAATATATCGCGCGTTAATTGTCCCAAATTGGCCAAAATGGCAATCTTTAAACCCCCGTAACTTTACGAAAAATGATCACAAGTGAAATATCTTTCAAATTTGAGTTCAGAACAGCAATAACTTTCGAATGATATAAAAAAATTTTGTCAAAAATGGCTAGTTAAAAAGTCGAAATTTGTCTGAAGAAAAAAAAACCCACCCGAGCACAAATATTCCGTTACTTTCGTATCGAAAGTCGGAACAATTAATAAAAAATTTTAGTGAAGCTTTTCTAGTTGTCAATTGCTTTTGATCTACTTTGTAACGATGACAGTTTGACATATCTTAAGTCGCCTAGGATGCAATGTCTATCGTAGATAATTTAATCAAACCGTTGAATTTGACTTTAGCCCCTACATCAACTCAAGAGCTACCAGTACCAGAGGAAACGGAAAGGCGAATTATCGAAAACGTACAATTCTATTCCAGAGAATCGGATGACATCAAGGATAACGAATTGAAAAATCTTCTAGTTGTGGGAAAAACTGGCTCAGGAAAAAGTTCGTTGTGTAACGTTTTGTCCGGCTACAGTTATAACGCAGATATTTTCGAAGTTTCAGCTGAAAGCAGACCTTGTACACAGAAAACTAACTTCCGGAACGTTTTCTTCAACGGAGACAGAATGAAACCTATTAGCATTATAGACACCATAGGGTTCGACGACCCGAACAATGATACCGATGCTACGATCATTTCTGATCTCGTCGTTAAGCTCAAAAACAACTGCGATTACGTCAATCTATTTCTTATCACTGTTAATGGACAACACCCTAGACTTGATGATTCTTTGATTGGAATGCTTAAGGTAAAGAATTTAAAAGCTGATAGCACTCAACATCTTCAAAGGTTTTCAGAACATGTTTCCAACTGCTTTCGCATTTAAAGAAATAATCAATATCTGATTCTAGAAATAACTATGCTGATTTTTCAATCGAAAACAATCTATAATTTTTGTCGAGTTATCTTTCAAAAAACAACAATTTAACCTTTCATTCCCGTTTTATTCACATTTGTGTTCAATTTACACAGAAAAATAAACTCACAATTAACTTTATAACAAAAAGTTTTGCTGAACTAGCGTTGCAAATTATGTGAATAAAGTGGATTTTTTCTAAGATATTCGAGCAAATGTTTGGAGTGGAGTTCTGGGGACAAGCAGTGATTGTTTTTACTATGCTACCCATGGATAACTACAACATCAGTAACCGATTGCAAATAAGAATGCAGACCGACGCTCAACTGGCCCTAAAATACATTCAAGGGTTAGGAAAACATTTTCCAAAAGCAAAAGGACTAAAACATCTGATTGTGAACGCTTGCCGCAATCAAGAAAACTCGGAAGATGTTCAAGCGTTTGACAAAGGAATCCGCGATATTTGGCAACAGCTGGAGAAAGCACCAAGGCTGCCTACTGAAAACTTTAAAAACGTAGAAACCGAACATCGTAAATTGAAACGCGAGATCGAGCAGAAGGAAAAGCAAATGAAAGAAATGGAGAAGCAGCAACAACAAGAAAACGAAAGAATGTAAGCATACTTATTAAATAGTACGCTATTTTCTTTTTTAGAAGGAGGAGTCTTTTTAACACAAAAGTTTTTGATAACGTTTTCAATTGATTTTCAATGTACCAACTGATTTGTCAAATGCATACCTTGATTTGGCTTTTCTGAAAAAAAAAGTTTTCATACTTTGGCGGTTGAGTGATATAGAGAGCACTTTTGTAAATCGAAACTAAACTATAAAACCATTTCAAAATGCTGAAAAATTTTTACTCACAATGTTCGGGTACATTTTTACTTAGCTTTTTACATCAAGAAGTATATAATTGACTTTAAATGTTAAACAGTTTTTTTTAATTCACTCAAAATCAGCTTGTTTTTCTTGTCACTGAAACGTGGTTCGACTTTCATTGAAGCTGAAAAGCAACATTTTTTAATCTTAAAATCAAATTATCGAACATCGAAAATGAAAATAGTCACATCTCTTTCTATAAACTGTGTGAAAAAGATCAACCTGGAATTAATTTTTATGCATTTAGTTAACTTTGAGTACTGATTAAATTGGATTTGCCATACAATATCGATACTAATTTTTTGATCTGGGAAAAATTTCTTTTACACACGCTGTAGTTTTCTGAGCTGTCCGAACCTGAAATTAGGGTTATTTGCCGTCTCTTAATTTTTTGATTGTACTTAAGGAAGGAAGAAATCAAAAAGATGCAAAACGAATTCAACAAAGAAGTTGAGACAAAAAATGCAAAGCAAGATCAAGATCGAATACAAATAGAGACGAAACATGCAAATGAACTGAAAAATTTAGCAGCGGAAGGAGAGAAAGTTTGTTTAAATCTTGAGCAAAAACTAACTAAGCTGAAAAGAGACATGGCGAGGGAACTCGCTAAGAAGGAAGCAGAGCGCAAAAGTGTCCAAAAACTGTTTGATGAGCAGAGCAAAAAAACGGAAAAAATACTTTCCGAGAAGCTGGATAAAATCAATTTGCAGCAAATTCAGCTACAACTTAAATTGGAGAAGGAACAAGACAGCACAGAGTTATTGAGACAAAAGGAAGATCTCAAAAAACAGCAACAAGAATTAGAAGAAAGGCATTCGAGACAAATTGCAGAACAACAAGAAAAAATGAACCAAAAAAAGAAAGAGATCGAAAAACAGAAATTGGAACTGAAACTGAAATATGAAAACGAGCAGCAAGAAGAACGGGAAAAATGGGAGTCTAAAATTTCAGAAGCCGAGAAAAAAATGCAACAACAACAAGCTCAGGCATCAGAAAAGATAATCAAGCAGCAAAATGAAAAACTAGATGATGTCAAATCAGGTAAGAGCCTGTTTTTATTAATCATTTTGTTTTCTCTATCTACAAATAAATTTTCATTGCGAGGCCAAACTGCTATGCGTTTTGTGGATTGCAACAGGATTCGGCAACAAGGACACCCCCTTGTTCTTTTTGCTCTTTAGTTTTCGTTGTTCATTCCGACAAAATTTTATCTCGTCAAAAGACTTGTCTCTGGAATCCAGTAGCACACAGACAGAAATTTTTGCTCCTTACCAGAGCACAGTTTGGCCTCGTTTTTATTCATGAGCCATATATGTATGTCCAAAACAAAAGATTAGTTTTTCCTATTCCGCAAAAAATTTGGACTGATGCGTGTTTATCGAATATTAAAACTTGGTTTTGTTAAGTTAATTTGTTGCCCTTTGGTACTTAGCATTTTCTACTCTTGTGATTAAAAACATTCAACTCGCTTTTATTTTTTTTTACACATATTCTGGTAAAACATTTTTTGTGCAGCTGAAATTTAAATAGAACAATGTTTTTTCAATTTTTTTTGCCATTTTATGTAATCCTCGAACTAGCATTCACTTTGTAGATGACACAGTCAATGTTGTTTCTCTCTCAAAAAAAATTAAAACGAAACTTTTTGCTTTTTGATGGCTTTTCAGATCATTAATCAACTTATCCCATTAATAAACTCAGATTGGGCGAATTGTACATTTTTTGCATTATGACACTCATGATAGCCAGTGTTATTGTTCCGACTTTCGATACGAAAGTAACGGAATATTTGTGCTCGGGGTGGGTTTTTTTTTCTTCAGACAAATTTCGACTTTTTAACTAGCCATTTTTGACGGAATTTTTTTTATCATTCGAAAGGTATTGTTGTCTTGAGCTTAAATTTGAAAAGATATTTCACCTGTGATCATTTTTCGTAAAGTTATGAGGGTTTAAAGATTGCCATTTTGGTCCTTTTGACCAATTTGGGACAATTAACGCGCAATATAATTCGCGCTATTAACGCGTAAGCGAGATTTAATCCGTCTTATAAATCGTTCCAAATTGGTTGAACGAAGCTTATTTGCCATAATTGATTTGTTACAAGGAACGAATTCTATCTTTTTGTACTTTATATGGCGTGTGGGGTGATGATTTTCATTAAAAAAAGTTTCAAATTTTAGAAAAAAAATTTCATTTTATTTTATTTCATTTCATTTTTTTTATGTATTACTGCTGCTCAAAAAACCTTAAAAGGCAGTCGGAACATTCAGGGCTTTGCCCTGATACGAGCAGTCTTGTTCTTATTTTGGTTATGCTTTTTTAACGCCAAACTGATAAAAGTGACTTCAATGTCAAAAGCAATTCGAAGTTTCAACAAAGTGAACTAAATTTGTTTTTGAATTAAACACTATAGAGAAAAGTAAAAACAAGATGAACAGAAAGCATAATAAGGTTTTATGGAGCAGTAATAACTTAAAAAAATTAAATGTAATGAAATTTAAAAAAAAAATTTTTTAAATTTGAAATTTTTTTATAAAAATCATCCCCCCACACGCCATTTAAAGTGCAAAAAACCCACCCCGAGCACAAATATTCCGTTACTTTCGTATCGAAAGTCGGAACAATAAGTTAAGCATTTCTGAGGTTCCTAACTTTTGTTTCTATTCTTCTGCATATATTCTTCTGCATATAATGTATATGCAGAAGAATATATGCAGAAGAATTCTATTCTTCTGCATATATTCTTCTGCATATAATGTATAATCGCATTGACCGACTGGTATACCGTCCCTGATATTTTGTAACAGTAACTTCAGGGCTGAAAGGCACGGAGAATTCCTTCTTTTCTCCGTCTGTAAACTGTAAGGGTTCTACGAGCTTGCATTTCATTTTTAGCGATTTAAATACGGAAGTATTTTCGGCTAAGAGTAGCTTGAGACATGCTTTCCAACAGGATCTTTCATTTCGCTTGATTATTTTGATAATGTGATGTAATATATTCACCAGTTCAGCAGTTTTTGTTGAAAACGATTGGGTTGGTTCAATTTTTTGTGATTTTGGGTGAGTTTTCATCACATTATTCTCAGTTTTTATATGATGTGATCATTAAAATCAATTTGTTCAGTTGGGTTTTAGTTCGGAGCTCTGTTCAAATTGGTAAATAAAAGTTATTACTCAATTGATTTTTCTTCTATTTTGTAAACATAAAAATTCCAACCGTTATTATTTGATTTTACTGGAACTCGTGGAATTTTTACTGCAATGACAATGCGTTCACATAAACACAATAAAAATGGGAAAAATCTAAGAGAGCCTTCGAAAAGTTGGGACCTTGAAGAGACACCGGAATAAAACCTTGGGGAGAAAATCAAGAAATAATTGTGGACAATAAAAATATGGAACGAACCAAACATTGAATTATCCGTTCGGTTGAGAGAAAAAACAGAAAGAACAATATTATTTTGAAAATAAACCCTAATTGAAAACATGTTTAAGAATCACCGACTGAAAATTACGGTCAAAAACCTCAAACTCCACAAACATATAGAAAAAATGCCAAAGCAGCAGTAGGAAGATAAAACATATATAGATAAAAATGCCAAAGCACACAGTAGGAAGGTTTCACTAAATATTTTCACAAGCAAAGTGAGTTAACTGGATGTCGTTCGAATGGAAAAAAACAAAACAAAAACCATTGTCGGGACATCATACGTAATCTACTGAAACTACTAGACGATCAGCTAACATTGAACAATTTCCAAAAATGTCGAACTCATAACAACAAAGAAAAACGTGTACAAAAGTAGCATTTGAAAAAAAAAACAGGTACAACAAAGAACTGAATGAAACCAGACAAAAAAGTAAGAACTAGGGTTGAATAGCCAGATCTCGAAAACTGTGTGGCATTCTCATATTCTTAAAAAACATCAACTTGAGCATCAAAAATACGACCAGATATAGGAAATCTCTCTTATAGCATTAGGGAAGCTCCCAGTCCTATATCTAGGTGGGAAGACTGATATGCTTCCGAGTTTTGGGACAAATGATGCTTCGCGCGTTCAAACACCCATGCTGTCATCACATCACGGAACCATGGCATCAATCTTTGTCTTGTCCAAATTCTTTCTATCGCTTTCCGTATCCTCAGTACTTTGCAGGCAGCCTCGAAAAGATCCAGTTTGTTATTGACTCGGCTCAGTTGCTCTGGAGCTGGCACGGTCATATACTGTTCAGTCGTTCCTGCGTTGAATTCCAGTCTCCTAATTGCCAGCATGGCGCTAACAACCAATATCGGCACGTTCTGAGCTTGATCAGGCTATCCCATGGAGAATAGTTCTCCAGCATCCCAAACCAATACTAGGTTTGCTCTCTTGGGATACCAAAACGTCTGCACCAGGCAGTGACAGGGGTACTCACCATGAGTCAGCATGATATTCCTCCAAGTTGGATAACCTGATGCTATCAAGAGAGGTTCGATTTCCATCATCATCTGGTGTGTTTCATGTCCCACTCGTCCCACTCGCTTTCTTTTTCTGAAACTCACTGAGGTTTCCGTCACCCAACTTCACGAAATCTTCCCCTACTTATTCTTCTAGTTCATGCCTAGACCTCTCCCGGATTACCCGAGGGATCTTCGTCAGTGGTTCGTGAGGCTTCTCAGACGTTCTGGACAATCGTACGCACTTAGGCACCGAAAAGAGCTGATCAATCAACCAATGCTGCGTTCTAGCATCCACAACCACCAGATGCGTCGGGTAGTTGCTGTTGCAGTATGGTGCTGCACTGGATCACACCAGGTTCTTCGATTTGGCTTTCCGGTGACATCCCTCGCTATGCTTCAAGCTCATTTCATTCTCAAGAGCCTCTCACCAGCTTCCAATTTTCTGCTCAGCCCGCAATGACCCCGGAAACAATTTCACGCTCAGGGCGGTCACCAATTCATGTGCTCTCTCGAGACGTTTCAATGATTCTACGGAGCTCGTCTTACTATAGAACCTCAAGGCAGTTACTAGATTCACCTCCGTAATTCCGTGGCAGTCAGCATTTAATTCCATCTCGCTTTTTTTGTCAGACATGCTTAGCCTCCCGAACGACCTCGCTAACTGGCAATATGTTCAGCCAAAGTCTCCAAGCAGTGACCCCACTCCACACACATGCCTTACCAGTCCACAACTAGCGGCCAGGCAGTTGCATGTTTTCATCCAATCACTCGAGAGATTTCCCTCTGATGGTCCCATGGGTGACTTCTCCCTCTGCCTCTCATTATCCAAGGCCAGCAAATGACGAATCACTGTTAAATCATGCAGGCTCTCATCGTCGTTCTCTTCTAGCTCAACTTCAGTGGTAAGGTCCCATATAAGACCCGCGTTCGGATTTGGCACCATGGAGATTTTATGAGTTCCTATATCGTCATAAGGCTGGTTTTCAGTAGACCGTCCCACGAACCACACTCAAAACTCACTTGCCCTTCCAACTTGGGAACCCAGGGTTCGACCACTTGTTCCTCTAGAATTTTTCCCAACTGCAGCTATTCAGTCGTTATCATTCCCAATTCCCGCGCTCTCTCCACCCAGATATCCAGGGTTATCGCTTGCTGAAAGTCGAAGTACGAATACCTCGCTTCTTCGTTGACGAATGTATTATAAGCCATTCCCTGAACTCCTGGCACATATTGGAAGGACTTCTGTTTTCCTAACATTACATATTCTATAGACTCCTAACTTTTTCCAGCATTTCCCTTGTGACTGTCAATTCTTTGTTTGAGCATCTCCTGACTTCCTCCCATTCCCGGTAGCTATCAAGATCGTTCAGCTCCTTCGCATCATAAGGTCAGCCTTGGCATCTAATCTCTTCTCTAAGCTAGTCCTCGTATGAGCATAGGGGATGTCATGATCGTTTAATAATCGCTCTTGTCTCCTACTGTCTCTTTCTTCTGACCCCTTGGTTGCTAGATCCAAGCTCTCCGCAAGGCGCTGATCGGTGTTTCGAATCAACTGGGACTGGTCGCTTCTGGCTTGTAATTTCGCGTTTGGCAGCTCGTC